AGTAGTTGTCTGCAGCCAAAACTAACCACGATCGTGTCACAGCCATGACTCATCGTCGCCTGTTACCCCGTCGCCGAAGAACTGATCAGCAACAAGAAGCGGCTGATATCACTGGGACAGGAGAGCCGTATGATCCGATAAACGATGACAGTGTCAATTAGGTCGGTGAGAACGAGCAGCCATGGACCCCGTCCGGCCTGCTTGATCTGGGTTAAAATGACCAAGATGGCCAGGTAACTTTGGTATCATGTCACTATGTAGCCACACACGCTAATCAATTGAGAGGGTCATACCTTACTTGGTGTCTCTAGCAGGAGCCTCCGTCGGCCGAGGAGCCAGAGGGTTCGGGTAGCAGGAAGGCCAGATCCAAGCGAGGCGTGTCAAAGATTCCTGTTGGTAGGAATGCACACTGGCACATTACTGAGTTCGATGAATTCAGGGATCCACTCTCACCGCCTATAGCTTTCACCAAATACAAGACTATCCTCGGGTTACTTGTTAGGGACTTCATCCCGATTAAGTATAGGAAGTGGATTGGGAAAGATGATGACCGATGGAGGGTTCCCGAAAGCAAGAAGTATTACATATGGGATGTCAAGATCCCAGAGTATTTCACTTTCCTAGCCGAGTATGACAGGGAGTTAGTCAAGAAAAAAGCAAAAGAAATCATGGGAACATGCTTCAAGAATTTCAAGGGGACATTGTACAAGAATTTTGTCCCCCAAAATAAAGAGCCAGATTTTGATGGTGGACAGTTTAGAAAGCAGAAGGACTTCTGGCAGGCTTTCAAGGAATACAGGTTATCCGAGGAGTACTTAGAACTGAGCAGGAAGAATAAGGAGAATTCACAGAAAGCGACGAATCCTCATCATCTCGGCTCTCGTGGCTACGCCAAAAAGATGCCAGAATTTAAAGCAGAACTTCAAAAGATGGATCGCCTTGCTGAGGAAGGCGTTTAGGTTGAGACCACCGATTGGGAACCCAGATCGGTAATATATTGTATGGGGAGGAATGTATGGGACGCCGAGGATGGGAGATTTAGCTCCTCAAATCTACCCATGAGCGAACTCATCCAGAGGATCTCCTAGGTAACTGAGGAGGTGAGGTAAGGGACTCACACTTCTAATAGGGAGAAAGACGTGCTCACCCAAGCACTCGGAACCAAGGAGCACCTTGGTCGCCCTAGAGGAACCGGTGTTGTTCCTTGGAAACTAGCATTCCCCTAAGTATCTAACACTTACCAGAGCCGCTCGAGGGGTAGAGAGGAACATGAGGCAGAGTATTTGAGAAGACTAAAAGAGATGGAAGACAGAATGGAAGCATGGATTGAGGCGACCGTTGAAGCGCGAGTCGAGCAAATTTTGCTATCCACGGGGTCAGCAGTACCACAAAACCCTACTCATACTGCCTTTAGCCCATAGTTTAGGGGTCGCAGTAGCTGCGGATCGACCCCGCTCGACGAAGAAGAGGTGAATGTGCCTCATCCGGTGAACGACATCACTGAACCCATCAATGTCAGGTTGTACATCCGTCAGGAATGGACAAAGGACAAGGTGGCGCTCGGCCAGGCCTGGCCTATGGGAGACGGGACAATTAATGGCCGCCCAATTCCACTGGGGTACGCTCGCGTCACCATTGACAGAATACTTGATAAGAAGTATAACAAGATACCCATTGAGTACCCCGTAGCGGAAGACAGGCCGAAACTTGGTCATAACAAGGGCTCTCAAGTGGCCTGGCACAAGCGCTTTATTAAGCTTGACCACCAATTGTCCTCTGATGATGAGGACGACTGCGAGTCTTCGCCCACCCGCGATGATAACTCACCATCTCCCAATAGAGATCACTCCCCTCCTCATCTGGAGCCATCATCCCTCGAGAAGACAGAGGTCTCCTTCTATTCCTCCTCGTCTGACTCCATCTTCATCAGCCCCGAGAAAAGAGACTCCTCCTCCTCCTCGTCCGACTCCATCTTCATCAGCGCCGAGAAAACAGAATTCTCGTCGTCATCCTCCTCCTCCTCCACCTCAGCCCAAAACAAGATCAAGGACATCCTCGTAGTCGCAGAAAAGGTCCTTGGATTCGGTCGCTAATGCTCCCAAAGTGGACCAACAGAAAAGAAAAAGGCCGTTCAGTGGCAGCGTTACCTCCTTGATGGAAGAAAAATTTACAGCACACGTCAAGAAGGAAGATTGTATTAGTTTCTTCAATCTTTGTGCCTCACTGCCTTCGTTTATGTTGAAGTTTGAATTCGAAAGGCAAACACAGAATAAATACGCTACAACAAGAGATGAAGAAATACACAATAAAGATTTAAAAAACATACAGAAGTACGTCGAAGACAACCCAGGATTAACCATGGAAGAGGCCGCGACCATCTATTATGATGTACAAGGGGCGGCAACACCAGCAATGAAGTATGTAAGGGGCAATTTTTTGGTTCCCGATCATGAGTTTAAAAATCTGACAACATATATGCGCCATTTACATGAATATTACATGGCTTAAGCAACAGAGACGGACAACTTTGGTTTTGAGGTTATTATCCGTTTGCCACATGTTTTCAATTATCCTGAAGAAGAGAAGTTCGATGTCTAGTGGGAGTGCTTGTTCCAGCTATACCAGAAACGCGATCTCGATGTTCAACTGTTGACGTTGTGGACTATGTAAGTACCCTACACGCATGATATTACAATTAACTACTCTCTTGAGACACAAATTGTTAACTTTTGAGCACTTCTCATGATTTTATGTAGGTGTATAGCAAAATTTTGTATTCTAAAAAGCAAATAGGATTACATAGGCTTCTTGGACCCCATGCGAGTCAATGAGAGGACATGTCTATGCCTCTATAGATGTGATGTGGAAGACCTGAAACAGAGATTGATTGCTATTTTTGACTAATTCACGATGAAGAAGAAAACCCACATACTTCTAGCCTACAACTGTGAGTATGTGTTCTCGACTTTTAATTTTATGCTTCTTTTTTCGTTAAGATTATTCGATAATTAGGATTCTGTGATTGCAGCAACCATTTCGTCTTCATTTGTGTTAATCTTGCCAAAAATCTGCTCGAGGTGTGGGACTCGAAGAAAAAACCATTTCATCATCTGGATGCACTAGTGTCAGTGCTGAATTAGTAAGCGATCCTAATAACATATTATTTTTTAATCACACATACCGGCTTTCTAATGTTTTTCCTTTTAATGTTGCTCAGTGTCCGAAGAAGTCATATCAGTGGGAAGCTGGTCCCATTCAAGGTTGTCGAAATGGAGAAGTACCTATCACAGCCGGCGGGAAACAATGAATGCGGGTTTTATGTAATGTGGGCAATGCTTCGCTACATTGGCGGGAAATCGGAAGAAGCCGATAAGTTGGTGTGTATAATCCCCATTTCATTTATGTCTGTTAATAATTCAACAAAATGATTTACTGTTCCTCTTTGGATATCATCTTTTTTGAACGACGGCGCAAGAAATTTAAGCACGAAAGGCTGATAGAGATGGAGATCGTCGCACTACAATCGGAGCTGACAAAATTCATCTTAGCCGAGGTATTGGAAAAAGATAGACTATTTTCCATTGCACAATCCGTGAAGTACAAGGACTAGTATGGCCCAAAGTGGCTCGCCAGATTATTGTAAGAAGTCCGAGATCATTTCTTTTTTATTTTGTAGGATCGAGATCTGGATAAGAACATTTGAATTGTAACCGTAACATTTGTAATGTTTAATATTGATGGACCTGTCGTCTACGTAGCGTATATAAAGCCAAACCCGATCCCACGAAAAAATATAAATTAAAATAAATTATAAAACAATAAAATACGAACGGGCCATCACCGCCGGTTAGCAACAAACCGGCAGTGTTGTCGTAACCATCACTGTCGGTTAGAAACAAACCGACAATGTTGGCTTGCTCAACACTGCCGGCTTGAACCATGAACCGACACTGATGATTAGGACAACACTGCCGGTTTGATCTATGAACCGACAGTGTATGCTTCCTCAACACTGCTGGCTTGATCTATGAACCGACAGTGTATGCTTCCTCAACACTGCTGGCTTGAGCCAAGAACCAACACTGATATTTACTACAACACTGCCGGTTTGATCTACGAACCGACACTCATATTTATAACAACACTACCGGTTTGATCCACTAACCGACACTGATATTTACAACAACACTGCCAGTTTGATCCATAAACCGACAGTGTAGGCTTGCTCAACACTGCTGGCTTGAGCCAAGAACCGACACTCTTGAAGCAACCGTCACTGTCGGTTGGAACTACAAACCGGCAGTGTTGTTCAACTGGACACTACCGGATAGAGCTAGGAACCGACACTGTTTCCTGTAGATCAGTGTCGGTTTTTAAGGACCAACAGTAATGTCAACCCCTATCATTGTCGGTATACCACTGTCGATTCAAAATCCGACAGTGAAATGAGTTTTTGAACCAGCAACGATGTCCAAATCTGGGGCAGTGATGACCTCCTGGGAAGCCTTTATCATAGTTTTATCATAGTTTCTTCTATTGAGTTATCTCTTCAGAAGTCCTCGTGCAGTACCCTTTTTATTTTTTTTGCACCCCTTTGTCACAGTTTCTTCTTTTTACTCGTGTGATGCACTCGTTCGATGCCGGCAAGTGTACTGTACCGGTTTACCTACTGTGCCATTCGTGATCAAACCATGTATTTTACTTTGTACGCTGCGGAAATGAATCGTGGCCTAGTCCCACGAAGTGGTCGTGGCGAAGGAAGGACGAAAGAAAACAAGGGTCACATCGAGCGAATTAAGGCGGCACCGTCAAGTGACAGGGATAGCGAAAAGAAAACCGGCGCGCTGAAGTGATGGGTAGGCCGGACACGGAGGCACGGGCATAAGAAGAATTAGAACGCACGGTATGACGATTCCAATTTGAATTCAGAAGTTAAACGTGCTTTAACGAGAGTAATACTACGACGAGGCCTCTTTGTGAAGTTTCATCTTTTTTCTCGTTCAATCCATAGATTCACATGTAAAAAGAGAAAAAGGTACACGCCATATCACATATGAGAAGCGAGAACACCTACTGATCTTGTCCATGAGGCCCTTCTTTTCTCCGGTTCCCTCGGTGCCGTGCCCACCAGTGGCTGTCAGCCCAACGTGCCCCTGCTTCCCAGAGGCCGTGTCCTGCCGGTTGTTGTCCTTGTGGCCTCCGGGGAGCTTCTCCTTTATTCCTTTCTTCCTCCTCCCGCCCATGCCGTCATCCTCAGACTGTCGTTTTTTTGTTGTTGCATGAATGATAGTCGTCGGATCCATTAATTCCCGATACACACGAAGCGAGATTGCATGCGCTAGCTAGAGAGAGGCGGGGGAACGTACCGAGCCTGAGCTGTAGGAGCTGCCAGAGCGGCGCAGGAGGCCGTCGGTCTTGAGGTCGTCCCTCATAGGCTGGACCTGCTCGCCGGCAGCACCGTGGCCTCCCATGCCGGTGGCACCGTGGCCGGCGACCGGGTTGCCGTACTCGTTGCCTTGGTTAGTGGCATGACCGTGCTGTCCCTGGTACTCCATTCTAGCTATCTACGTCGCCGCTCGGCACTCGCGTCCCTTTCTCGCTTATAGACTGCTTTTCGATGAGATGTGTTCCATGCAGTGGAAGGTTTGACGGGTATTTATATCGGCGGGACTGGGAGATCGGCCTTCAGTATTTTGTTTAGAAAAAAAAAATTAGAGAGGCCACGGTAGGGTGATCCTGTGCTTGCATAGTAGTCTCGGCAGGTAGGGTAGCTATCGTGGATGTGAAGTCGCGGGAGAGACGACGTGTGCATATGACACGGCTCGGTCGGCGCCACGTACGTACCGGCCGACGTACGGGCGCTCTAGGTTATTCTGGAAGGATGACTGACTGGGCAAGACACTCATTTGTTTGTATACTCTTCCTGATTGATTCCTTAATGATCCATTGCTACTTTGGGATGTTAAGCATTGTATGCTCGAAGTGTTGCATGGGGCCGGGTGCCCGGCCCTTTTCAGGAAGGCAAAGCATATTAAGAGGAAAAATGGTTCCCAAACCTTTTAGCAATCGATTTTTAAAAGCATCTCACTACTGCATATAGATCTTTCACAGCCACGTTAATCTCCGTCGCAGTCCAATTTCGACCTCGACAGTAAACTGTCGACAGTGATGGTCATAGCCTTCACCGTCGTCATTTGAGACCGATTGCGGCGTACACTAACACCGTTGTACTGGCTTATGCTCCATCCGTGATTAGGTCCTTACTTCTGTCGCGTTGGAGCACGATCCGGCTGTAGGTATACACTAACACCGCCACATGGACAAATTATCCACCTGTGTCGAGGCTATCAAAACCGTCGTTGGGCACATCAACCGCCTGTGTAGTGGTCATCAGCACCGTCGCCTTGTACTTCGACCCCACTGTCTGCGGTGCGGGTTCGCTATCGCTTCGACGGCCAAGACATCTGTGTAGAGGTTAACACCACCATCGCTTCAGCATATGAACCGCCAGTATAAAGGTCATGATCACCGTCGCCTTGCACCACGATCCGCCTTTAATGATCGTTTAGTCGGTGTCAGATTACTAAACGATTCGACGGTGATATACTTTTGATCCATGATGCATTATACGTATAGCGACGGTGTTGGATGTTTGCACCACCACCAGCGGTGGTGATAACAAAACAATGAACCGGAATTTTATCCAGTTCCACAATAGTTACTAATTCAGCTGGCCCCTTAATAGCTTTATGAACACAACATTACATTCATAAATCATGTTCACAAACAAAAGCACTTTTTACAATAACAATGGACGCTACCATAACATCTTTCTCAATTGATTTCTTAATACAAGCAGTACATAGAGCATACTAAAGGTACTGATCTATACAGAATTATATAACGAAACGACGTAGCTGTGCTCCGTCTATGTGGCACTCCTGCTTGCAAGGCAAAATGAATATAATTAGGGCATCATTCGGATTGGTAGCCAATGTACCATGGAATCCCTCTTCAACAACTACTTTGCTACTAAAGCAAACTAGCTACACAAGAGCAATAACACAAGCACAATATATGAACATGTAAATACAAGCTTGTGTATGGAGATAGCAAACCAATAGGAAGATGATGACATGATGATTTTTATCCCAAGGTTTGGTGGTTTGCCAACCACTTAATCCCCGTTGAGACAAGCGCAAGGTTGCCGCTGGTCCTCTTGCTAGTGGTGACCTTCAAGTCACACTCTCTCACGTGGAGTGCTCACCATGAGCTCTAACACTTGACACGGCCAGTTCACTTGATGAGGACATCAGTAGCTCAGATATGACCATGTTAACCACTTCAAAACTAAAGGTGAAACCATTCTATATGAGGTTTATATTTATTAGATTTTATGAATTGATGCTGCACCTCAAAGTTTGTACATTTTCCTTTTCAAAATTACTTACATGGACCAAGGAAGGTTAAATTGCATATGAAAAGCATGGAAGGTTAATGACCTTCACCAAGCCACCACGTCACTTTTGGTTCAAGTAAAGAAAGAGTCAAGTCCAACACGTTCTGGAAGTTCAATTCGGACCGCAGAATTGTCCCAACTTGCAACAGTCACCACGGTTTCATACGGAATCCAATTGGGACGTTCTAGCACTTTGTGGAAAGGTTATCAAGTATATTTTTAAATGGATCCCACCTCACCCTCATATCTTCTTTGAGCCGGCCGCAGTTATTGTTTTACTCTGGAGACCTTTTCTAGCCACAGGTGTTGTTACACCTATTTTTAGGCAATGGGCCAGCACCAACTTGTGACGGCCACCATGACTTCATACGGAGTTCGATTGGGACGTTCAAGTACTTGGTAGAAACATAATGAAGTCTACTTTCCAATATATCCAACCTCATCCCCATATCATCTCAGAGTCGGCCGCAATCATTGTTTTACTCCGGATACCTTTTCTGTCCACAGGTGCTGCGACACCTATTTTTGGCCAATGGGTTGTGTATCATGTTAGCTCCATTAGGGATACGTCCTGTGGTTGGAGAACAACCCAAGAACCCCTTTGGTCATCCTCCCATCTACTTATATGCTCCTAGAGCCACCACGAACAGATTGGGTTTTGTTCTGATGCAAGTTTAGCTACAGCTACTTCCATGTAGACGCATGTGTCGGCTAGACCATCTGTTCTACTCAATTCGGAACCCCACCTTATTGTGATTCAGTTCTGAACCTTCATATCTTATTTGGCAATTCAGTGCTTGTCTACTTGTTCTTGCATGTTCTTCGATTGCTTGCAGGAATAACCCTAGTGGTTTGGTTGGTCGTGCATCCACAAGATTGTGACAACCGCTGGAATTGGTGTATCGATCGCTAAGGCACAGCGTCCTTGGACGGTTGTAGTCGGGCCGTGAACATCTCTCCACTCAAAATAGAAGCTATCCATCTCCACCGAAAGATTGGGACGCCCTGACCCTTACCCTTATCAAGTGGTATTCAGAGCAAGGTTTGATGGGTGAGAGATTTTAGTTCGCTATTATTTTCCTATAGTCCAGAAAAGGCCAAAAAAAGAGTAGATTAATTTTCTATATTCCCATAGACCCTTTGAGCCATTTACTAGTACTACTTAGTTCGGGCTTGTTGAGTTTGGTTTACATCGGTTGAGTCGAGTTGCTGGTCTTAGGGTTAGTCTTTTAGAGTTTCCAGTTCTTGTCACGTTTTGGTCAGTATCTATCATATACATCTCCGCTGCCATCACCACCACCGTATGCATCTTCACTACACCATATACATCTTCACTGCAAGTATTACTATCATATACATCTTCACCGCACCATATCCATCCCCGCTATTTTTTTACTCCAACAAATTCTAATTTGGGCACACAAAAAAAATCTGAGTTGCTAGTTGTATTCCTGTTACCCTAAAAAAAGAGAAATGCATTGTAAGTTACTTTTCTAAAACCTGATTTGTCAAGATTCAGATTTGTTCTAGTTGTGCAAAGTGAAAGAAAAGAAGGGGAAGAAAAAAATCAGAAAGAAAATAAAAGAAAAACAAAGAGAAAGAGAAAACAAAGAAAAGAAGAGAGGGGGAAAGAAGGGGAGTGTTTTCTTGCTATTCATGTGCCTTGTTTCCTGCTGTACCGTGACTTAGTTTGGGTCCAGGCTCAGGTCTCTAGCACGGTCTAGCCTAGGACCAACACGGTACCACCGTTGAACAATTTCTCAACTTGTTCTTGTGACTAATGTGGTGCTAGTACTTCCTTGTACATTAATTTCAGCCCTCCTATTGCTCCACATATCCGACTATAGCTTGACAGGTGTTCTTGCTGTGCCACCAATACACTATTTTCTAGAGTTTCCGACTTGTTGGTTGCTGCCACCTCCTGTTTGGTTTGGTATGTACTTGTAAGAGCTTGTTTGAGCAGGTTGAGAGAGATAGAATTACAACAACCACATCCTAGTAGTTGATAGGAGCAAAAATATTATTGTGGATGTTTCTTGTTTTCTTCTAATCATGGTAGGAATCCACATGGAAGTAGGAGATGATCTGGTTACATATTCTTATCACTTTGGTAAAGGTATAGCAAGAGATAAGCATGCTACTCATGAGGTATGTGATGTTTTGCTTGATAGAATAAAATCTGCACTACCTTATTTTGACGGAAAGTATGATCCTCATGCATATATTGAATGGGAGCTAAATGTAGACAATGAATTTAAGAAGTATGATCTATCTGAAAAACAAAAGGTTAGAGTTGCTTCAAGTGTTCTTGTTAACTATGCTCTAACTGAATGGAAACACCTTTGTAGATTTGGTAAAGCTCCTCAATCATGGAAAGATGTGAAAAGACATTTTAGAGATGTTTTTGTTCCAGGTTATTATTCTGAAATTTTGTTTAGAAAATTGCATTCTATAAATCAAGAAAACAAAACTGTAGCAGAATACTTGGGTAGACTAAAACTATGTTTGCTGCATTGTGGCTTAGAAGAATCCGGTGACCTTTTAGAACATATATTTTTGCATGGTCTTAATGTGGAAATTCAGAAAATTCTTGTTGATAAACAGTATAACACTTTTAATGAGTTGTTTGATCTTGCCTGTGATTCTGAAATAACGCTGAAAATGGGTCTAACAAATACTACAGAAGCACGTGTCCCTCCTATTACTAACAATTTGCAGCAAGTAGCCGACAATATACAAACGGAGAGTGAGCAATTTGAGATACCGCGTGAAACATTTTAAAGAGAAAGTGAATCTAGCTGCACCTACACCATTTGAGAAGAGCATCCAAGGAAAGTCAGGTGGTTGTAACATAAATCAAGATGTAGTTGAATTACATTTGTCCACTAATCTTGCTATCATAGAGCAATCAATTGTGGAACCAGTTACTGATTTTCTTTTGTCATACTTTGATATGTTTGATGTTCTTTGTGACAAAGAAGAGTTGTGTGGTAGTGCATCGCTTATATCCATACCACAACTAGTGAATAAACCAAAAAATTATGCATCAATGGGTGCTGAATTCAAGCATGTTGTTCATATTGCAAATGAAAATGA